TATTTTGGTGGGTAAATATTTTAAAGGTTTTTTTTTTTTTTTTTTGGCAATTGAAAAAAATTCTAGACACAATGGTAAACAAAATTTTCACTTTTATTAACAATTTTCATACAAAACAAAACAAAACGAATGATATTCGGTATGGTAAATTTTTTTTAATTTTTTTAAACAAATTATAGACCAAATGGTAAAAGAAATTATCATTTTTATGGACAATTTTCATGAAAAATAAAGCCAAATGAATACTAAATTTTCAACATTTTCCAAGAGAAAAATTATATCAATTAAACACAATTAATTACAATTTTCAATAAAACAATTTTTAGACAATTCAATTCCCTAGAATTCATTTTCTTTAGGAGGAGGCAAATTGATTAGAGACAGTAGAGGTAGTTTGTTTTGCGGTTTTGCTCACCACTATGGTGTGACTACCAATACTATGGCAGAATCCCGTGCTCTTAGGGACGGGTTGGCTATGTGCAAGGATCGGGGATTTGTGGATTTGGTGGTGGAATCAGACTCTACACTTATGGTAAAATGGGCACAAAATGGACGATGCACATTATGGCATTTATGGGATTTCTGGGAAGATATTTACACTTTGATTGAAGCCACCCGGATAACACATATCTACGGGGAAGAAAGTATGTCAGCAAACTACTTGGCGAAAACAGGTACTACTGGTAACTCTTTCATCATCCAAGAAAGGGACAACATTCCCCTTAGCCTTAGAGGATTTTTAAGAACGGACTCTTGGAGTCTACCGAATATTAGAGGTAAGTGATTATTCTCTTTCTTGTACCACGGTATTCCTCCATAAAAAATGAGGATATTCTCAATAAAATTTTAAGTTAAAAAACAAAAGTATGATGCTTGAATTGATAAAAGGATTAAATGATATCCATGATTCTTATGTGTTCCTATTTAGCCCCTGTTTGGTACACCTTAAAAATTTCATTCCCATTCTTTTACTCATTTTCAACCACACATTTTCCAATAAAATAATATTTTTCATCACATCAATAATTTTTCCTTCCTTTTCAACCACACATTCTCCATCAATCTACTATTCCAAAATACATTCTTTCAAAATAATGTGGCTCAAACACACCCTTAATGTAATAGTATAATATTTTTCATTTTCCTTTCATAAAT